ACCACGGTAATCGCTCCCAAGAGCTCAGTTTTTAAGCTAGATCCGATTTCTTTGCATGAGAGGACTCAGAATTGACTGCGCTATTAAACCGCTATCTTAGATTTTCAAAATTAAAAAATGAAAATTTTATATAATAATATTCCCAATTTATATCTTTATATTATTTCAAAAAATTTTGAGGTTTCGAAAAAACCGGAATATATGTGACAGAACGCATGCTTATGACTAGCTCTAGCAGGTTTTAGCTAAATATTTTCAAAAATGGCCAAGTTATACGCATTATTGCAAAACATTCACAATTATTAATTTTTAAAAACAATTTTTCAGTACGTATTTGACATCGTACACCAATATAAGTAGCACCATCGTGTTCCTGAGCTCAAACTGCATCTAATAGACACCATTTTTTGTTGAAAACATTTAAACTTCAAAATTTGACCTTTTTGACCTGAAAGTGACCTGACGCTAAGCTAAATTCGACTCAAAATGACCTCAAATGACACAGACGACATCAAATTCGAAATCTATGGCCTAAATGGACCATAAAACATGTGTCACGTGACCGACGCACGATATAATATTTCCGGGACCTGTGATGACCTGACCCTGACTTGAAAATCAAAGTACAAGTTTGGTACCCTCAAGGTATCTAGAGCATCTGTTCACGAGTGTGTAAACCAAAAATGAGCCTGATCTGACTTGTAAGACGGCGGCCAGAGCCCAAAATGTGAACAAGCCAAAATGCTAATAATTTTTACTTTGACCTGACCTGTGACGTCATTGGTGACCTCGAGGTCAATGAAATTAGGTTTCGATCGACAGTTTTTCCGGGGATATCAGACGCCGTTTGAATTTTGACGATCAGCCAAGTAGTTTCGGAGTTAGGAGGGGGAGGGGCTATGGAGAGCCCCCCCCCCCAGTAGGGCGTGTTATACGCAGACCCCAGTGGGGCGCGGGTTAAACATACAATTTGTAATAGTTATTTTGTACGTCTTTCTCTAAATGGATACATTTATATTATGCATATTCCTTTTTATTTATGCACCCTTTTGCTTAATTATCTCTGCAGACGTGTAAAAACTTGCATAGATATTTTCATATCAATAACAACTTCGTCAAAGCACTGAAAAAACTAAAAAAGATCCGATACCGAAATCTCTACATCTTTCTTTCTTTCTTTCTTTCTTTCTTTCTTTCTTTCTTTCTTTCTTTCTTTCTTTCTTTCTTTCTTTCTTTCTTTCTTTCTTTCTTTCTTTCTTTCTTTCTTTCTTTCTTACTTTCTCTCTCTCCCTTCTCTATCTCTCGTTCAATGGCTCTTAGCTAGTTCTGCTCTACGTGGCCGTTTCTGCTTACAGTGCATCGTACGCATCGTATGTAATCAGCCTTGAACCTACTCGTACTATTTATGAACGTTTAGGTAGACATTTCAAAGCGCACATTACACTTCCTTACATATTTCATATCCCAGTCACTTGATGTTGAAATGACGGAAAAAAGAAAAGGAATGTAATCTTGAAAACAAGAAGCTTCGGCCAGCCATGCTGGGGCCGTTCTCACATTAACGCAGCATCATTATTATACATCATTATTATACATTATACCATAATTATACCTATTCTCATTACAATGGAAAATCACGTGTATGGCTAGGTCTGTCTCTCGTAGTATGAAACGAACAAGAAAGATAACTGCTTATCACAAATAGGAAAACTGTATCGCCAAAACTTCGTGCGAGCACGTCTGGAACTACCACATTTCCTAGTTGCGCTACAGTGGATAGGAAGGCTGGGACCAAGATATCCAGATAGCTGTTGAAAAGATCTGAGCGATAACGTAAAAGCTGTCAGGTCGCCACATAGTAAACTGTACTCGGAAATGTGCGGTTTCCTGGCCACCGTCACAAAGGAACATTGTTTACCTATCTGTGACCTGTGACGTGACCTCGCAGTAATGCATGCTGAATAATCGGGACAGCATAATTCATTTTCCAGTCAACATGATTCAGTCGACAAATCAAGCTTAGTACCAGTAAAACGCCTTTTGGGCCAAGAACGAGCGAGCGAGATAGTGAGCCCTGCACGTGCGGAAGGGCGAGAGGGTACTTCCAACGGACTTGCGCAAAGACCCTTCTAACCGGTCGATAGCCGTGTGCCAAATTTGAACGCAATCGGCCCGGCCGTTCCTGAGATCTGGAAGCGGCATTCTGCACGTGCGCACGTGCAAACGGGGTCCAAACTGACTTTTGCACGGCACCCTACTAACTGGTCCCCAACCGTGTACCAAATGTGAGCGCAATCGGCCAAGCCGTTCTCGAGATCTGGGAGCGCCCCCTGCACGTGCGCACGTGCAGTAGCACCTTAACCGCAACACATGGGAATGCATTGTCTGGTGGGTGCCTACCTGTATGCCAAGTTTCAGCGAAATCGCCCCAGTAATTACCGAGTTAGCAAATTTGACACCTCTTATTGTTGTATTTTGCACGTGCACTGGGGGTGACCCACATGCATCGAGAGTATCCTATTTTTGGTAGAAGGGATGCTGCTACCCTACAAAAATTACCGCAAGTCAATCGCCCAAGCGGCTGCTGAGATATGAGCCTCTCAAAATCACTACTTTTGCAAAACAGCTTGAACACCCTTGACTTTTCACGTGGCACGTGCTACGACGGTCACTGAGGTGTATCAAAAGTAGTCAATTACGGGGTAGAAGGGATGGGGCTACCCAGCAAAAAAGACCGCAGGCCAATCGGTCCAGCGGTTGCTGAGATATAAGCCTCTCAAAATCGTTACAGGCCGGGCCGGGCCGGGCCGCTCATACTGAGATTTTTCCGTTATATTGACCAGTAAAGCGCCTTTTGGGCGAAGAACGAGCGAGCGAGATAGTGAGCCCTGCACGTGCAGAAGGGCGAGAGGGTACTTCCAACGGGCTTGTGCAAAGCACCCTTCTAACCGGTCGCTAGCGGTGTGCAAATTTGAACGCAATCGGCCCAGCCGTTGCTGAGATCTGGAAGCGGCATTCTGCACGTGCGCACGTGCAAACGGAGTCCAAAATGACTTTTGCACGGCACCCTACTAACCGGTCCCCAACCGTGTACCAAATTTGAGCGCAATCGGCCCAGCCGTTCTCGAGATCTGGAAACGCCCCCTGCACGTGCGCACGTGCAGTAGCACCCAAACCGCAACACATGGGAATGCATTGCGTGGTGGGTGCCTAGTTCCAAGTTTCAGCGAAATCGCCCCAGTAATTACCGAGTTACTGAAATGGGAACAAATTTGGCACCTCTTACTGTTGTATTTTGCACGTGCAGTGGGGGTGACTCACATAGATGAAGAGTGTCCGACCTTTGGTAGAAGGGATGCAGCTACCCTATAAAAATGACCGCAAGACAATCGCTCAAGCCGCTGCTGAGATATGGGCCTCTCAAAATCATTACTTTTGCAAAACTGCTTGAACACCCTTGACTTTTCGTGCCACGGCGGTCACTGAGATGTATCAAAAGTAGTCAATTACGGGGTAGAAGGGATGGGGCTACCCAGCAAAAAAGACCGCAGGCCATTCGGTCCAGTGGTTGCTGAAATATAAGCCTCTCAAAAGCGTTACAGGCCGGGCCGGGCCGGGCCGGGCCGGGCCGGGCCGGGCCGGGCCCCTCATACTGAGATTTTTCCGTTATATTGAAAAGACTTCGCTTCGCTCGCTGCGCTCGCTCGCTCGTAAAAAGACTCGCTTCGCTCGCTGCGCTCGCTCGCTCGTAATTATGTTGTTTCTCGTACCTTTGCAGTAATTGCACGTGTCATGACTCATATGCGTAATTATGGCGCGCTAATGCTTAAAAAGTTACTTCGTTCCACATGCTTAAAATCGAAATAATGCATGAATATATTTGTCTCACCTTATGCTACTGTATTCATTCGCTCAAAACATGTCCGTACTCAGCTGATGTTTCACGAGAAAATGCTCGCAAGACGATTCTTCAACGGGTTACTCGTACGTCACAACACCATCCAAAAGCTCACAACCTCCAAATTACATGACAAACTCCACATCCACATCATGGCCCTAAAGCTCCCAATAAAACTATATAGCTGGTGTCAAAACAACGTTTTTACACATCATGGCCCTACATACATGACTGCATGTTAAAACAGGGCCGTAAAACGTTGCTGTTGCAACACAGGATGCAAATATGAAATTAGTGCTTAACAGAACATGTCTAGGTACGCATTGTACTTACGTACATACTTACACAATGGTCACGTATGGATGGACTATTTTTAAGTGTCTCTTTGTTTATAAGTCCATTCATAGATAACATTAACTACCCGACGCGGTACTTCATGTTATCTGTGGTTCATTATGTCACACTAGGAAGGTAACTAAAACTACAGCACGTGATAAAATAAAGAGGAGGTAAGGGAAAATCAATGCTTTGAAACTGTTCAACGGTTGGTTAATATCTGGGGGTTAATATCATAGAGATATATATACATGGATATATAAGATATATATACATATACACATATGTATATATATATCTCTATGGTTAATATAGCATTTCAGGCGGTGCATCTCCAGCAAAATCTCCATAAGCACTAAATGTTCCTCTGCCTTGTGTGTTCCTTACAATGCCAAGCAATGTCGCAAAATACCTGAAGTTTCCCTATGTTCGAGTGCCGAAGCGAGCAAACATTTTAATTCTATTGCTGTTGTTATTGGTTTCAGCTGCTACTCTGTCTATACTATTCATATCTCATATGCATGTCAAAAATGGCACAAAGCCCAAACGGCAAACTGCGGTGCTTGTTCAAGAGTCTCAGTTCATGTTGCGTGACAACAAAACTGGCCGTCTTGTATGGGATATGAAGGAGATGAAACGCCTTCACGGCACCCGACGTCCTGTTCATACCACCAGTCGTATTCCAGCGATGGCAAAAATCGTCCAAAATAAGCGCAGTATGGGTGCTGAGCAAACAAATCAGGTGAAATTTGATAAATATTTCAAGATGGCTGACCCACGTCTGCCCCCACTATCGCCCAGCTGGCTGGCGGAAAGGGAGGCCGTCTTCGAGCAACGCTCTAACCGGATAGCGAACGTGTGCCGCGCCTACGACGTGCGCATCGGACGCGGCAACGTGACCAACCGGCCCGGCGTCGGGCCCGTGGAGCGCATCAACGGCGACCACTTCGTCTCGGTACCGTCGCTGAACGTGACCGCCTGCCTGCTGGCTAAGGTGGCGTCCACATCACTCCTCTCCACGCTGCTGAGGGTGACGGGGAAGGAGGTGCCGCAGTTGGAAGGTAACCGCACCAGTCTGCACGCGGCGGCCGGCGCGCTGCGGCTGCCACCCTCCCAGCTGGGCGCCATGCTGCACCGGTCGCTGACCGTGCTGCTGGTGCGCCACCCGCTGCGTCGACTGGTCGCCGCCTACCGCGACAAGATCGCCGGCCGACCCAACTGGCCGATGCTGCACCACTTTGAGTTTCTCAAGTTCGGCTCTGTGCCAAAGTCGCAGCTCGGTCGGGAGCTGCGCGACGCGGAGATGCAGGAGCACCGTCGCGAGGCGCTGAGCCGTGACGGTGTGCCCACGTTCGGTGAGTTCCTAGCGGTGGCGCTGCTGGGCGACCGGCCGCTGCGGGACGCCCACTGGGCGCCCTACTGGCGCTACTGCGCCCCCTGCCATGTCCGCTACCGCATGGTCGGCCAGCTGGAGACGGCCGGCGACGACCTGCGCTACCTGTGGCACGCGCTGCGCCTCTACTACTGGGTGCAGATCCCGTGGCTGCACCGCTCGCGGCCCGAGCAGCAGCCAGAGGAGGGCCTGCAGAACCTGGCCGACACCTACCTGCGGCCGCTCGAGCGGCCCATTATGATGGCCTTCAAACGAGAGTACAAACTCGACTTTGACCTGTTTGGATACGACTGGGCCGGTCTGATGAGGATGTCGGGACATTGTGTCATCGGAGATACAGGATGTGACCTGCTGTAATTGAGCGTTGATCTTTCGAGATCAATGCTCACCTTGATATACTACGCTTTAGGAATTAAACGTTATCAATCAAGATTGTCTGAATTATAATGATACCTTTCTTCACTGAAAGACTGCGTATGCTTGTGTCGTGTTAATGACTAAGAGTGATCTATGAGAAACATTGTCTGCTGAAAGAATATGAGCCAATGCAATGCAATGTGACGTGTAACCCTAATATTTAGCGAAGTGCTGTCTAGATGTATCGTATGCCAGTTTGTAATTAGCCTGCTCATTTGTTTGACGGCACGTTTTGCATTTGGTTTCCTTCTTTTCGTAGGCCACCAAAGCCTAGCTTTTAGTGTTTCGAAACCAGCCTTCGTCACTCGTCAGTGTACCTATATCTCTTGCCAGAGTTCGCTTGTGGTTCGGTAATGCAACGTTTCAACTGTGTCATCGGTTTAGTAAAGTTCTTGTGGTATACTCTGTCACATCTTTTCAGCTGATTTGTCATCTGCAAACACCATGTTTGAGATTTGAGCTCAGTTAACGGTTTGGTCCATAAAGGGCGAAACCGCTAAAATAGACGGATTTTGCCGAAACATTCTGCAATGCACTTTAAACGCAAACAATGTATGACATTTTTGGCTACCATCGTGTTTGTCATACCGAGACGCGTTGAACCAACTATAATTTGACCTTCAAAGGTCACCAAAAAATGTACCCTTAGATCATGTGATGACCCCTGGTGACCTGAAGTTTGGCCTGACCTTAGAAATGCCCGAAGTTTTTCAGTCATTATTTTTGACGCTCTTTCGAATGCCGCTTAGCGCGTGTCGCTACGTGGCCCGGGAGCCGAGTTAGACGAGGGCGTGAGCCCCCCCCCCCCCCAGCACGACACAGAAAAATCACATCAGACCACCAGCACGGCGCGGGTTAATCGGTCATCGGTCCATGTTGTGAAGCTGAATACAAATTACATGTTCTTTCATCGCTCTACCATAGCTACATAGATTAAAAGTTATTCTAAAACAAATTGTTGGTGAGCTTTCATGCTTTTATTGTAATTACCTGGTGACCTAGCCTTAGGTGATCTATGTATATTAACCCTCGCCCGCACATGCCATTTTCCCATCCTAGAACGCACATGGGGGGGGGGGGTGGTTGCCACCCCCCCGCGCCATTTCGTTCCTGTTGGAGATAGAGCTTAGCGGTAAGACCAAAAAGATTCTTTGGGAAGAGACGAATCCAATGATACCCAGTTTTACCTTCTCAGGTCAGTCATTGACCTTCCAGGTCAGGTCAAACTAAAAAATGTTGCTGTTTTGGGTCACCGTTGGATATCAAGTGCGCTGCTTATCAAATACCGATGACGATGCTGTTTTCTGGTGCCAAGCCAGCTAGAACCTCTTTGTCACACTACCCGACCAGAATTTTGCTGCTGAGGTCATTTCAGGTCAAGTTAGGTCAAGGTCAATTATATGTGTTTGTATGTCTGTGTGTGTCTGTGTGTATACTGATGTGTGCACCGATTGTTTTTGGGTCCATATTACATGAAATCATGATCTGAGAAGCTTTTACCAAAAATGCAGTCAAAAAACTTCACAAAAAAATAAATTCGGCTTGCCTAAAACGCAATTATCTTAGATGACCTAGGTTGACCTTGACCCTGACCTTGACCCCTGTACATCGTCGAACAACATGTTCCATGATAGGTGGGAGGTAAGACTGGCAAAAAAGGCCGAAATCAGGGTGTCAAAAGCTCACAAGGCCCATGGCAAACGCAAGATGTTGAGAATTGGCCATTTGGGTCATGACATGACCTGAGAAACAAGGTCATATCTCCGAAACCAAAAATCACAGAAACTTGAAATTTTCAGTGGACATCAAGAAAGGATAGAGGAGCAGCTATACGAAAAATCAGCTTTCTAGCTTTAAAAATGTTAAGTGCAGAGCAGAAAGACTACCTGGGGGGGGGTGGCAACCCCCCCCCCCATGTGCGGGCGAGGGTTAATATTTTTTTAAACTAATATTAGCCGTTTTCACGACGGCCATCTGGTACACATTTGGTGCAGATTAAGTGCAAATTTGGTCAAATTGGGTTCATTGTATTCCTTAAAAGTTGTTTGGCTTGGGTTGCACATATGCTTCTAGATCTCATTTGTCAAATTACCTTTAATTTGAAGAAGATGATATCTGAAAATTATCAGATAGTATCTTCCATTAAAACCATTTATAGGTAAACATGACACACTAAATCGGAAAAATGCACCTGTGACCCCTCTGTGTGCCCCTGAGGTCATCTCAGGTCATGAACGGTCACCAGCAGTTTTTTGGCTATAACTTTTGATAAAGACGTGCAAGAGCGATTAAAACACGTCAGATGTATTCAGCTCGACGATACGGATCGGCTGAAATGCAACATGACCCTTTCCGGTCAGGTCATGACCTTAACCCTAGAACGCCTAGGGGGGGTTATATCAACCCCCCCCCCCTGAGGTCTTTTCAAAGTGCACGCTAAACGGCTTGTCGTAGCGGGCTGAAATTTTCAATACCCTCTGGGGCAACCTTTGCGCATCTTTTGCCGAAAAAAAATTGATCGGGTCATGTCAGGTCACGGAGTTATGACGTCATAAGAGGTACAGCCTCCGGCCGGATTTTCACAAACTGAGTGCCAACGCCCGAGGTTTCCTGCCGGTGGTACGGACATCGGTTGATGGATCGTGATGAAACTTCCCATGCATGTTGGGGCAAGTATTGGCTATCATATGGTATAAGAAACTTGACCGGGTCAGGTCAGGTCACGGAGCTATGACGTCACAAGAGGAACAGCGTCCGGTACTATTTTTGAAAAGCGCCCGAACCACTATTTTGCTAATTCTTGTCACCTCAATGGGAATATGCAGCAATATTAGCTTCTATAGGGAGCAAATGGACCTCCCAAATCCAAAAATACAATCAGATTTCAAAAATTTAAATTTTGATTTTTCGAATTTCTGCCGCCGACTGTGACCTTGCCGACTTCCGGCGCCCCCAACGCGCCATTTTTAGAGCTAGGGAAACGAAATACATACCAAACGATAGAGAATTGATCAAGGAACACGATAGTGAAAGTTTCAAGTCGATATCTCGCACCGTTTTGCCGCAATCGCCGCCGAAAGTTGAAAAAAGTCTATTTTTCCGAAAATTTGACCTTTGACCGGTCAAAAGTAGGTCAAATGTTGACTTAGGACCAAAAAATATACCACCAATCGCGAGATCTCGTTGAGAGCAATCCGTTGGTTTTTTCCGCTAAGCTCTACGACCTTCCGTTTCGAAACGCCAGGGGGGGGGGGTCGTAACAACCCCCCCCCCCCCCCTGGTCGTTCGTGTTATGAGAAATGGCCTGGTCGTGCGAGGGTTAACCTGAGGTCAAATAATTTTCAAAATTACCATTCAAGGTCAACAAATGGTTCATTCGACGCGTCTCGACGAGAGAAACACGATGCTGCCAAAAATAATGTCGTGGCTCTCTTGAGTCAAAAGTTATTGACGAAAACCCATTTTCGTGAAAACTGCTATTTTTGCAGTTTCTGCCCTCTGAGTCTGAAGGCTAAACCGTTGACCTGAGGTAAAATCTGAGAATAATATTCAGAAAGTTCTGTAAAAGGGCTATCGAATGCGATTTTCCGCGGTGCTGTAGCTCTATTGGTTCCCGAGTTAGCCGTTGGCAGTTTCCAAAATTGTTGAATTGACCTACATTTGACCTTTGATGACCTCTGGCGACCTGACCTATGACCTGACCCAAAAATGGACCGAAGTGTTTCTGTCATTATTTTCGACGCTCTTTCGAATGCCGCTTACTGCGCGTCGCTACGTGGCCCAGGAGCCGAGTTAGATGGGTTGGGGGGGAGTGTTCAGACACCCCCGCCCCCGGCCCGGCGCGGAAGTCGCGGAGCACCGGCCCGGCGCGGGTTAACATCGGCATAATGATAACAATTATTATTATTGCATGCATATTTCTAATTTTTTTCTGTTAGGTTCGCCCTGGTGCGCCACAGAATTCCGACCCACCTCGATGGACAGGCCGACCAGCCTCGCAAACTGTCTCCCCAAGGACCGTTTGCGTTAGGGGCTAGGTACTCAGTCGGATAAAGGCGACTGTTCAGCGTTGGATAGGGGTGTTGGGGGGTTGAGGCGTGGATGAGAAGCTGCGCGTCCTGGTAATGAGCCAGAGGACTCGGAGGATAAAATATGTTTGGTAAAATAAGTATCTCACGCAAAACTATAATCCACTAACTAGCACATGGAGGCACAGTTGACAGAGCTGCTGCCACCTGGGGTCTTTAGAGACAGAAGTCACTTGGCTGTGCTGCCACCTGGGAGGAGAGGCAGAAGTGTCAGCAAGTCGAGTTATATTATGTATATCACGTGAAAATACCTACACACAAGTAGATGGGTGCCATGTATTTACATATCTATTATCTGTACACGCATATCTTCCTTTGAGCAGATGACTGGCAACAAATAGCGTCACAACTCTATGATTTTTGTCATGCAAATTTTGGGTGCGTATTATTTAGGCCAGAGTTCATAATGTTCAGGGCACGATGTGTCCAGTGTTGGAAATGGCCAGTGCCTTGAATTGGCCAGCGTTCATATTGTCCAGGGATTACATGGTCCAAATATGGCCAACTGGCTGCAGATAGGGTAAATTCAAAGAGGCCAGGGTTCATAATGTCCAGGGCACGATGTGTCCAGTGTTCGAAATGGCCAGGGTTCATAATGTCCAGGGCACGATGTGTCCAGTGCTCGAAATGGCCAGGGTTCATAATGTCCAGGGCACGATGTGTCCAGTGTTCAAAATGGCCAGTGCCTTGAATGGGCCAGAGTTCATAGTGTCCAGGGATTACATAGTCCACCCAACCCAACCAAACCTAATCTAACCTAACCTAACCTAACCTAATTTAACCTTCCTAACCTAACCTAACCTAACCTAACCTAACCTAACCTAACCTAACCTAACCTAACCTAACCTAAGG